TATACAGACAGGCGAAACCAGAATGAATTTGCAGTTGAGATACTTGACTATAATTGGAGCTGTTCATTTGCCATTTATTCGGAAATTTCTGTAGGAAATTGCACCTTTGTTTTGTCAGGTGGTGTAAAATGTTTCATTGCCCCGACATGCTTTTTCTATTTTATATGTCTGCCAGTCCAAATCATAGCTAATCTATCCTGTTTCACTCGATTATCTGCAGCCTTCCCAATTCGTTTATTAATTGGTCAACAAATCTTTTTGTCAAGAATGATCAGGTCATGATCGAACTTACACAAGAATGTGAACAGATTGGGGCCATTCTGACAAAGTGAGCATCCATTTCTCGGGCTCAAGTTTGAAGGCTATTATAAAAGTAGGGCTATGAAGCTATGATTTGTCCTGCTGATAGCCGTTTTGACCTTGTTTACCAGACTACTTTATACTCGTATTCATAATAAGTAGGCCACGAGACTATCCCCTACGTCAACTTCAAAGAGATCTCTTTGGAAGTGTAGCCGACCCTGAATGAAAATACCCCACGGGAGGCTATGCAAACGAGAATTGAATGACATCTTAAGGCCTAATCATATAATAGTGAAAAAATTCATTATTTTATGCGAGATAGGTGGGCCACAGTACTTTATAGTCATTCTGTTAAGTTATATCAGGTGATGAAGGACTGGTAGTGGAATTTTCCCACAATGATATGTTCAGAGCTGATGTTTTCCACTCAATTTCACATAGCCTTTCTTTCATAAAAGTTGTTCTCATCTTTGCAGGAGTGAATTGCAGTTTCGAGCTCGCATAGGTCTTATCAACACTCTCAGCGCGAGTCGAACCGTGACCATGCAACCTGTAAACTCGACACGGTATCAACTACTTCACAGTGTCGAGAGTGCCCTTGGGCCATGTGAATTTCAAGGAATGTCCGGCATTTCTCCACATCACACTTTGTGTTGAGATTGTCGATAAAGCAATTTCATATTTTCTTCAGCAATCGACGATATTACTTCTTTCGTGAGTGAGTAGATAGTCTCGAAAAAAATTCTCTTAAACTATCTACCAAGAGTGAAATGGGCAAAATTAATTAGTCTTTCAGAAGGTGGCTGAGACCATGGCAACATGAAATGTCAGCAGCCAAGGTATGATTTCCGGTCAGTGGATACAGGCATTTTCGAAGTGGCACAGCTCACCTTTTTGACAGATCTTCCTCACCAACAGACAGCGACGAGCGCCAAGTCTGTCCAAATGCTGTTGTGAGGCGCCGAGCTTTACTTGAGTGCCTTGTGGCAACCGGCGCTGCAGCATTGTCGGATCCACCCTGTTGAGAATACAGGTCACTTGTCCGCTTGCATTGGCCCTGACCAGGGCCCCGAGTTTTCCGCTTCGGTGCATGTGGCCGCCGGACGAGCGTAGAAGGTAGTAGTCGAAACTGAGACATT